TGTTGATGGGTAAATTATTTATTGAAGAATTGATTTACATTCTATCTCTTAATTAATTTTTGGAAATTCTTCATGGGAATCTAGCTCTAGTCTTGTAAATCGGGGTGAGGAAAATGAAGGCCCTGTAAATACATGATATGATCGTTCACTCAATTGATGACACACCATTATTTACTTTTCTAACCATCCACTCACATAGCGGCACTTGTTGTTGAGGTCAAATTTTATTACTTTGTTTGGTCTCTTACATTTTACCAAATTTTAATCCCTCTCTCTCTTATTTTTCTACCCAAAAGTTATATTAAGAAACCAAAATTCCAAAAAAAAAAAAAAAAAAAAAATTAATTTCATTCTTCATTTCATATTATAATCCATTCTAAATTTTTTATTTTTAACAACAATTTTTATGGCCAATAATTGCAAAATTGACATCTAACTTTTCATTTTTCCACATTTTCTTCTAAAGAACACGAAGAAACATTGGATTTCAACGTTGTCTTCCTTTATTTATCTATAAATTTTAATTTTGATGCTATTTGCGAGCAAATATTTATATATGGTTGAAATTTATTGTGTTCTTTTTTATAGAAAAAATTATCACATGCATAACATAAAACTAAAGAATTATTGTCTATCCTTTGTTTTAAAATCTTGCTTACAAGATAGAATTTAAATTGAAATTGAAATTGAAATTATTCGGTCACAAAATCTACACTAAAATTCGTTTTGTCAGTGGAGTTTGTGAGGGAAAAATCCCTTGTAAATTTGCATTGAAGTTCAATTCTCCATTTCCTATTCTCTCCCACTTTGAATTTCAAAACAAATATTTTATAACTATTTATGTTAATATTTTTTTATCTCTTAGTTTAAATTATTTTATTTTTGTCAGAAGTATAAATAATTTGACTTTATATTTGTGGGGGCCGATCATCTGAAATTTAGGTGTCAAGCTAGAATCTCTCAAGAGTCTGGTATTTATATTTATTAGTCAGAGTTGAATGTGCGTTGGAAGCTATTATGAAATGTTTTATAAGTACTATGAAAAGAATATTTGGCCCTCCATTTATTCATTTGATCAAAATATAAGAGAAGTGTTAATTATTATATATGCATGTAAATAGTGAAATTCATACTTGTATGTGAGTATTAGAATTACAATTAAGGGTGTGTTTGAGCCACATTATTTTTGGAAGAATGTATTTTGGAATAGTAGATTGATGGAGAATGTATGTTGAAAAAGAAGGAAAAATTATTGATGTGATGGAAAATATTATTTTATTGAAAAATATATGTTTGAAAATGAATAGAATAATTGGAATGTAAATTTTAATGTGACTTAGGCCCTGTTTGGGAGAAATTTTAATCAGNTATTTTCAACTTAAACCATTTAGGGTGTGTTTGAGCCACATTATTTTGGAAAAATGTATTCTGAAATAGTAGATTGATGGAGAATGTGTGGTTGAAAAAGAAGGAAAAATTATGATGTGATGGAAAATATTATTTTATTGAAAAATATTTGGTTAAAAATTAGTAAAATAATAAAAATGAAAATTTTAATGTAGTTTAAACAGAGGCTAAATGTATAAATGAATATGAATGACAAATACAACACATGAATTAATATGAATGTTAGTTAATTTAGAATTAACACAAAAGAATATATACGTGACGATGAATGTTAAATTATTTATATTAAATGAATATAATTTAATTTCCAATTAAGTGAATATTGATGCTAATTAGAATTCATGGACATGAATAATGAACTACATTCTTNAATTTAATTTCCAATTAAGTGAAACGGGTGCTAATTAGCATGTGAAATTTTAATTAATATTAATTAAATGAACGTGAATGATAATTAATTAAAAAATAATCAATGTTTTAAAAAATCAGATTGGCCCTATTCGTTTAAAAACTGGGAACCGGAACCAATCGGTCCAATTAGGCTTATAAAACCTATAATTAAAAACATAGCACAAAACCCGTTAAACGACCGTTTTTTTTAAAACTTGTGACCCGTTCCCTGTGTGTGTGTGTGTGTGTTTTATTTTTTAAAAAACTATGATTTGATCCCGATTTGACTTCGATTCGACGTTTTAACCCTTGAATTTTTCTCTTTTTCAGTTCGGTGGCCAAGTCAGTTTTTAAAATATTAGAATTAATAACATGTACATGGACGTGAACGTAAACGTGAATGTGAAATTTTAATTAATATTAATTAAATAAATGTGAAGGTTAATTAATTGAGAATTAATTATAGTATTTATTACAGCTTGTAAATTAAATACACGTTAAAAATGAAAAGTAAATTATAATTGAAATAATTGAATTGCAATAGGACTATAATCGTCTAAAAAATTATTCTCACTTGATGTAATGTTTAATATTATAAATGACTGGGTCGTCTTTTAAAACATCGGAATTAATAGCATGGATATGTATATGAATGTTAATGTTAATGTGAAATTTTAATTAATATTAATTAATTAAAAGTCAATTATAGTATTTATTACAATTTATAAATTAAATACATATTGAAAAACGAAAAGTAAGGTATCATAGTAAGGTATTATTGAAATAATTGAATTGTAGTAGAGTTATAATAATCTAAAAAATTATTTTCACTTGATGTGATATTTAATATATTATAGATGGCCGGGTTGATTTTTAAATCATTAGAATTAAAAACATGAACATAAACATGAACATGAATGTGAAATTCTAATTAATAGTAATTAAATGAAGGTGAATGTAAATTAATTAAGAATTAATTATAATATTTATTACAACTTGTAAATTAAATATATATTGAAAAATAAAAAATGAAAGATTATTGAAATAATTAAATTGTAGTATGGTTATAATCGTCCAAAAAATGATTTTCACTTGATATGATATTTAATATATTATATATGTTTGAAATCCACTAAACCTACTAAAATCATTTTTTGGACGATTATAACCATACTATTCACTTGATATGATATTTAATATATTATAGATGTTTGAAATCCACTAAACCTATTAAAATCTTTCGAATTAAAGAAGTTCACAAGTTATTAGGGACATTCTCAACTTAAGGATTAATCTCGAGGATTTCATGGAATTATATAAAATTGTACACCATTTATAAAATATTGAACAAAATTTTACTTTCTACATTTGAATAGTTGGATTCAATAGTTTTTTTTTTTTTTTAATTAGATTACGATAAAATGATATAACTTTTTGGTAAATCAACCAAAAAAAAAAAAAGCATTAACTTCGTAATTGAAAAATAAAATTCATAAAATTACCTTTTATTACAAATAACTTTACAACGTTTAAAAGATTAATTTCATCAATCTACAAAGCAAGCAAATAAATATCAATAGATTAATCAACAATATGATATTATCCTTTAATTTGAATCCTCATTATTTTCAAAATACATTTTTTTATCTCTTAGTTTTAACGACATATTTTTCAATAAAATAATATTACACCAAAACTCAAAACTTTTCTTTATTTTTTAACTCAAATCTAATAATTACTTTCAAAATATGTTAAAACCAACTTAGTTTTTTTTCCCCTTCTCAAGCTTACCCTAAGAATGCTTCTTTAAATGCTTAAGATTTTCATACATTCCTCACTCCTCACTCTCTCATGGATGGTTTTTTTCTTGCAGCAAATTTTCTGCTTCTTCTTTCTTTCTCTATTGATGTACATGGAGAATTTGCAGGAACAGGTTGCGATATTTTCAAAGGAAGTTGGGTTTTTGACAATTCATATCCTCTTTACGATACAAGAAAATGTCCCTTCGTCCAAAGAGAATTCGATTGCCAAAGAAATGGTCGACCAGATAAAGATTATATGAAATACAGATGGCGGCCCAGTGGTTGCAAATTACCAAGGTCTGTTCCGTTCTACCATCTATGTCATTTCTTACAGTGTGTCTTTTCCCTTCTTCTTCTTCATCATCATCTTCTTCTTCTTCTTCTTCTTCTTCTCCTCCTCCTCCTCCCCCTCCTCCTTCTTCTCCTTCTTTTATTTTATTTTTTATTTTTTTTGGTTTCTTATAAATTTAGCCGTTGAGTTTAAATTTGAAATTTGATCCAACTAAAGTTTCGTGAATGTCTATTTGTCATGTAGTTTTCATGGCTTGGCAGCTTAATTTGCATGATTATATATGATAATGGCGCCTGGAAATATTTGAATGGTTAAAATTTGTTTGTTTTTTCTTTTTTTATATACATATTTGAATATTGAAACACGGTTCAAGTGTCGGAAATTTATTAAGAAATTCTCTATGCTTGGGCTAAGTCAATTTTTATTTCTAGACATGCTTGAATAAAGTATTTTAAAAAAAATATAATTAACATTTATTAGAAATGAATAAAAGTATTGCTAATATTGTATCAAAGAAATACCTTTATTGGTAATTCATAAGTTGTTTTTTTGCATTTTCTTGGATTTTTTTTTTCCCTTTCAAATTCGTCACTTTTATTAGTTAAAATAACCATAATTAATTATGACATGGTACAATTCCACCACCGGCTACATGCAACTTCTCTCTCAAAGAGAGAGATACGGGAGAAAGAGTTGGCTGCATACATGACATGAGGATGAGGTCGAGGCATGACACATGTTAACCGTTTAAATCTTTGTTTAGTCGTCACATGGTTCTCACATATTTATGTCTAGTTTAATGAAACTAAATTTTGTATCCCGAATTGGGCAAATGTAAGTCATACATGTTTTCACGATGATCATATGATGAAGATTTGTCGTTGATCTACTAGCTATTAGAACATTAAGTTGAAGACCAAGATGCAATTTTCCCATTTTCGTTTGAATTGGGGATAATTTCGAGTGCAATCATATGAAAAATTCCATTGAATGGGTGATGGTGATACTTAGACTCGTGATTTTAATAATCTTTGATAATATGCTAAACAAGTTTATCTGAAATTTAAGGTACTAAAGACTGGGAAATTTCTTTATTTATATACAAAATATTTTATTGTAGATTCAATGGCATCGATTTTTTGACAAAGTTAAAGGGAAAGAGGCTCATGTTCGTAGGAGATTCTTTGAGTCTTAACCAGTGGCAATCCCTCATATGCATGCTACATGTAGCAGCACCAGAAGCTAAGTACACATCAGAAAGGATTGGAGACCTTTCTAAATTCGAATTTCCGGTTAGATTTATTTTCCTCTCTATCTTAAAACTATTTGTAATTACAAAATGATTACGTAACTTCTATAAGTTGCATTATTTCGGTAATTAAGCACTCTCGAGATATTTGGTAAGTACAATACTAGAGCAGACATGACAAGACAATATCAATCATATCATTTATGTGGATGAAATTTTAAATAGCCAGCTATTGTACAACCGAGGTTGAAAATTTCAGTTGACAACAACTCTCGTGGAGGAGGTCCTCTTTTTTTTTTTGAATTTTTTAAACATGCAGACTCCGCACACATGTGAGAGGTTGTCAGCCTCAATTGTACAAATATAATTTTCCAATTTTAAACTCCGCATGAACATAAGTTATTGCCACATTAAAACATGAAATATGCTAAAACTATTGATTGTACAAATATAAGATAATTTTGTTCGATTTGTTTTAACTTCATTAAGTCTATGTTTGTCAAAACTTATAACTGCTTGTAAGCAATGCGTTTTAAGAGTTTGACAAACTTATAACTAATTATAAGCTTTGAAAAGATGCACTAAATTCTTTGGCAAACAAAAAGATGGGATTTTTTATTTTTCCTTTTTTCTCATCTATTAACTTAAACAGTCGAATTTAGGGCCCTCTAAGAAGTTAGGTAGGGGGTTGAGTCGAAGCTAGAAGTAGACTAAGTCATTAGTTGTGTTGGAATCGATTTCCTACTTTTAATATGTGTAAGCATTATGTAAAATGTAAGGGTTATAATGCTTCGATCATGTTCTCCCGAAATGCATTTCTTGTTGATATCACGAGAGAGCCAGATGGGAGGGTTTTAAGGCTCGATTCGATCAGTAGTAGCAAAATTTGGGATGGAATGGACGTATTGATCTTCAACTCATGGCATTGGTGGCTTCACACCGGGAGACAACAACCGTAAGCAACTTTTCATCACATTATATATCTTACAAGCAAATTACTCTGTGTTCACGATAGTTTGATATGTTTCTCTTCTTTAATCGTGTCTAATTTATATGCGTTTCAGTTGGGACCTGATTAGGTATGGAAATTCAACTGTGAAAGACATGAATCGTTTGTTTGCCTACGAGAAAGCTCTTCAAACATGGGCAAAATGGATAGATTCCCATGTAGATCCAACAAAGACCAAAGTATTCTTTCAAGGTGTCTCTCCAGATCATGCAAGGTAAGATGATCGACAAATTATAAAGTACAAAATCAATGGTCAATTGGAAGTTTTATTAATTATCGAGCCTGAAATTCTTTTTCCTTTTCACAGCGAGCAAGAGATTGATTCTTGTATGGGAAAAACACGACCGTTGAAATATTTGAGTCGTCCTCATCCAGCAGAATTGGTGCTGGAAAAAATTCTAAGAGCAGTGTCCAAACCAGTTTATTTACTAAACATAACTGAATTGTCTGATCTAAGAATAGATGGACATCCTTCTGTTTATGGCAGTGGAGGACACACTTTTGAGGATTGCAGCCATTGGTGTCTTGCAGGAGTTCCAGATACTTGGAATGAACTCTTGTATGCAGCCCTAGTTGAGAACTAGATTAATATTCATCTACCTTATTTTATTAGAAATCACAGATGTCTTTCATGTCGTGTAATAAAATTTAGGCCAGGTTTGATTCAACAAAAATTCCATGGAAAATGGAAAAGAAATTTCATTTCCACCCAAATGGCATGTTTGATTGGAATTCATTTCTGGGAAATTAATTTTCCATCCCACAGCCCCACACGTGCCCAATTCTTGGTTTCGGTGGAATTCATTTTCTTTTGGTTTTGGTGGGAATTGGTTTTCTAGGCATTTTTTTTTTTTGGCAATGGAAACAAATTCTATCCTCAATTGTAAAAAAAAAATCTCTTTAATGAACAATTTTCATGGAAAATAAAGCCAAACGAACACCAAAAAATTCAAAATTTTAACATTTTTCAGATGAAAAATTATACCAATCAAATACAATTAATTGACAATTCTCAATTAATTGAATTCTAGGTAATTTAATTCCCTAATATTTATTTTCTTTCTACCCAAATTCCATCATTACAATCAAATGGACATGTTTCTCTTTCATTTGTAAGATCTTTTTTAAATTTAGATTTATCTTAATAAGGATTATGTGTAGTGTTTGGGGTACCTTTAGTAAATATCGAGTAGGTCAAATAGGGTCTGTCGAGTCTCCGTATCTAAAATGTAGTCATAAGTGTCATAGCCACCAAAAGGGAGGGTAGCTTCTTGTGTCAAACTAAGTGCTTGCCTGTGATATCTTAAAAATTAATAATTAACATTAACGTATATTTCATCAATTTTTATCAAAATTTGCTATAACTTTTATCAATTTTTTTGTCAAACGACCCCTATATAAATGAAATAATTCGAAAAAAGCTATATATGTGAAGAATTTGTACACGATAATAACAAACAAGAAAAACGCTCCTTGAACTCTTAAGTGAGACATGTTGTCTCGCAAATGTATATTATTTAGATGTGATGCATAGTTGTGATGGGCACTATAGAGTGAAAATAATGTTTAATAAAAATAAGGGAAGTATACATAAATCATGCTTTTACTTATACACATTTCAAAATTAAGGTATGATGTTTTAAATTTCAAAAATCAGGTTTTTATTTAAATTTATTTATGAATTACTTAATTAATTATATATTTTATTAATAAATATATAACGGTC